GGAGTGGCTGGTGGGTTTGAACCGCCAGCCGTCTGGTTAGCAGGCAAGTGTCTTAGCCACTATGCTACCAGAGCTCCCATTCCAACTCATAGTGACACTATATGAATGAATACAGGCTCTAAATTTCTAGAATAGAAATTTCTTTTGGATCCCTTAAGGATGAAAGATGATGATGAAATGTTAATTCAGGCCATACCTCTCAAAGAGCTTCCTACTTGAAAGCTGAGTCAGAAATTCCCCATTTCATCACAGTTCTTCAGTGTGAACAAAATTCTTAGACATTGAACATGGTTGTTGTGGGATACTAAAAAGATAATGTATGTGAAAAAAATCTTGTAAATTGTAAAGTACCATTGTTGTTTTTATTGTTAGGTGCCATTGAGTTGTTTCCAACTCATAGCAACACAAGAGAACAAAGTACTGCTTGGTCCTGCATCATACTCACAGTCCTCGCTATGATTGAGCTGTCATGCAGATGTTAATAATTATGTCCTCAGAAGCCAATGCCTCCAAGGCTCTTTCAACCTAAGCCATTTGTTCCTCTGATTTTTATATTCCTATTCATAGTATCAGGAGCTCTGGTGTCACACTGGTTAAGGCATTTGACTGCTAACGGAAAGATCAGCAGTTAAAACCCACCAGCTGCTCTGCGGGACAAAGATGAGGCAGTCTGCTTCTGTAAAGACTGACAGCCTCAGAAGCCCTTTGGGGCAGTTCTGCTCTGTCCTATAGGATCTCTATGAATCTGAAATGGGAGCTCTGGTAGCATAGTGCCTAAGGCACTTGACTGCTAACCAGGAGGCTGGTGGTTCAAACCCACCAGCCACTCCTCAGAAGGAAGGTTGGGCAATCTACTTCCATAGTGATACTGCCTTGGAAACCCAAGGAGGGGTCACTGTGAGTCAGGTGTGACTCGACAGCACGTAACAACAACAATGAATCTGAATTGACTCTGTGGCAGTGGTTCTTTGATTAGTAGTATCACCTCTTTTGGTCTCTCAGACTAATTCCAAGACTCTTCAGGGTCTTTTGCAAATGTCACCTCCTTCATGAAGTCTTTCCTGATTTCTCAGCAACCAGATGTACTTTCTCTTCATTTTATCTTGCCTTGCTCCGCATTGCACAGAATTTCAGCTTTCTGTTTTTTGTTTTCTCTTGTTTTTTGCTTGCATGTGTTTGTGTTATAACACCACATATGTGTTCCTGAAAAACCTCACGTTTTGCAGTCATGCGCTAAAAATAACAGTTATGGGAAAAAAATAGGGTTATAAGCAGGTTACTTAAAACCTATATTTTGTAATCAGAGCCCTAAAAAAAATAATAGTAATAATACTAGCATAATTAAATTTCCACTGAGTTTTGTACTTAGACTAGGACTCAGTCTATCCTTTGCAATCTTATTTCTGGGCTCTTGTTTATTTTCTTCAAGGTATAAAGTCTTGCAAATACTTGCTTCTCGTAAAGAGTAGTTTCATCAAAACTAAAAAAGATGGCCTTCTTCATTAATTAGTTTGTTGTTGTTTTGTTCTGCATTTCACCTCAGAAAGAAGCTCTGGTGACACATTTGGCTGCTAACCCAAAGGTTGGGGGTTCCAATTCACCAGCTGCTCTAAGGGAGAAGGACAAGGCAGTCTTCAGTAAAAATTGGCAGCCTTGGAAACCCAGTGGGGCAGTTCTGCTCTGCCCTATAGGGTCACTATGAGTCAGAATTGACTCGATGGCAGTGGGTTTTAGCACAGATAAATTTGCACTTGTCCCTTCCCCAGAAAGCTTATTGTTTTTGTTCTGTGCCATCAAGTTGATTCCTAGCAACCCTGTAGGACAGAGTTGAATTACACATAGGGTTTCCTGGGCTGTAATCTTTAAGGAGCAGAGCTCTAGGTTTTCTCCTACAGAAATTTGAACCCCCAACCTTTGGGTTAGCAGCTGAGCACTTAATCATTGCTCTCCCAGGGCTCCTTTCCAGGTAGAGGAAAGTATAGCAGTTCTTGAAGCCACAAAACCTGCTACTGCAGGATTTTCATCATTTTTCTTACTACATTGCTAATGAGGAACCTTGTCTTTGGTCTCTTTCAAATATTTACATGCTAGAAAAATTACTTATGAACCAGTATGCTTTCTATGTTGAGCTGACATCATTTTCATATGTACTGATTTCATAGAGCAAAAGTATATTAAAGAAACAGGCTTTGTAGTAGAACAGACTATACTTGTTTTGTCTCCCTCTTTCCCATTGCTTGTGAGCTCATTAAAGACAGGAATTGTCTCCAAGTCATCCCTGCAGTGCCTGGCATGGTGCCTTATGCTTAGAAAACCCTCAAAAGGTATTTGTTGGCTTAAATCAAATTATGTCTTCTGCTGCATGATAAAGGTACATCTGCACTGTATGGAAGGCCCTTAATGTAAGGACTGATAAAAGTTAAACATTTCTTCTGGCTCCCTTTGTTGTCAGGACCTGCCCTCTTAGGATTTTAAGTACTCAGTTTAGAGATTAGTTGCTATCACATACTCTGACATCTCTATAAACCATGTTTAGACATATCTTTACTTCTGATGCTTCTTACAGATTAATCCCTGTCCTCTTAATGTAAAAATCTATCAACTTGCTTCCATTTTATTGGACAGTCACTAATACTAAGAGAAAGGAGTAGAGTTTCATAAGTGATCTGGTCAGTTCTGTCATGTGCGGTATTGTTTGAAGTGGTAGATATAGTATATGGTCCTTGTTTCAGTAATGAAATTACAACTTAGGCTATTGGAAAAAGGCTTTTAATTTTCTATACTTGAGACAGTTGCTAAATATATGACCAGTACATTTCCATAGTAGTAATCTCAGTCATGAACTCAGATGTAATCACTGCCATTCAATAACTATTGGGTCTTAGGGATTATACAAGAGATCACTCAAGAGAACGGGGGATAAACCACAATTTTCTTTCTTCAGAATGTAAAGAGGCTTCTACAGAATCCCAAAGTGACCGAGTTTGATGCTGCCCGCCTGGTGATGCTTTATGCTCTACACTATGAGCGCCACAGCAGCAATAGCCTGCCGGGACTAATGATGGACCTCAGGAATAAGGGTGTTTCTGAGAAGTATCGAAAGGTAACTAACTTTATACAATAAGCCCACCAAATAGGAACCAACTCTTACTATCATCTTGTTGTTTTTGTTATGTGCCATTGAGTTGGACCGACTCATAGTGACCCTTCCTTGGGTTTCTGAGGCGGTATCTTTACGGAAGTAGATTGCCCAACCTTCTTTCCGAGGAGTGGCTGGTGGGTTTGAACCGTCAGACTTCTGGTTAGCAGTTAAGTGCCTTAGGCACTACGTTACCAGAGCTCCTACTATCATCTTAGCTCTGACAAATGAGAAATCGTGTTCTTTTTATTCGTAGGAATGTATAATTCTGTCCTCTCTTCATCGCCATAAAAAAAATATTTTCTTATGCATTGAGTTTCCTGATCCCCAAGCATTAAAAGGTTGCTTCTCTTGTTTTTATAGCTCGTGTCTGCAGTTGTGGAATATGGTGGTAAACGGGTCCGAGGAAGCGATCTCTTCAGCCCCAAAGATGCTGTGGCTATTACCAAACAGTTCCTCAAAGGACTGAAGGTATAAAAACATCTCCTCTGTGTTTTCCTAAATGAGAAGGAGCTGAAGCCTGGGAGGCTGTGAGTGAGTGAATATGATCTTCAAAGTAGCTTCAGGATTGCTGCTGATTACTATGCCAATTAAATGAAATTAAAGCAGATAGCCTCTTGAAAGCACTCTCATTAAGTGCTTTCTGTATTGGAGTAGTAACAGCATTAGACCGAATAGCTGAGCAGGAAAGAACTGCAGGTATTTCCAGGAAATACCCAAGAGTAGAATAAGTCAGTCACAGAAAGACAAATATTGTATGAGTCCATTATTGTAAAAAGTCAAGGAAATGTTTACATAGGGAAGGAAATTTTCTTTGTTGGGTACCTGGGATGGGAGAGGAGGGGAAGAGAGAGAAAATAGATGGATAATTAAGAGATATGCCTGATATGAGTGAAAACTGGAAAAAAAAAAAACTAAAACAAACTCACTGCCATTGAATTGATTCTGACTCATAGTGACCCCCTTTGGATTTCTGAGGTGGCAAATCTTTATGGAAGAAGATTGCCCCATCTTCCTTCCACAGAGCACCTGGTGGGTTTGAACTGCCGACCTCCTAAGTAACGGTCAAATGCCTTAGGCACTGCACTACCAGAGCTCCTGATGTAGAGAGATTTAAAAAAAATAATGATAATTTTGTTTTTTTAAAAAAAGACAATTCTATTAGTCACAGCTATTTTACTTCATTTGTTAATAATTTAAGATTTGTTGGGTAATATATCTTTGGAGGAAATTAAAGATGAAGCAAACAACTAAGATCTTTAAAAAATATTAACCTGTTTTGTTTTTTTATTAATTAAGTGATTTTATAGCTGTAAATTGAAAGGTTCTAAGACTTCAAGGTTTTTTTTTTTTTTCCCTTTCACCCAAATTAATATGTGTCTATCCTCTAGTTAGTGTTCCCTTAGTAACCATCAAAAAATATTTCTTTTCTTGTGAAACCCTTTTCTTGATTTCTAACGATAGTGGTCTCATGTACTATTTGTTCTTCTGTGCTTGACTGACTTCAGTCAGCATAATGGCCTCTGAGTTCATCCATGTTATGAGATGTTTCATAGACTAACCTGTTTTTTTTAAAATGGTCAAAATTAGTTTTAGTCTATTCGCCTTTCTCGTTGCCTAAAATGTTTCCTTTTTCCTGAATAGTCCCAATGTCTTTTTCTACCTCTGTTTCTCTCTTTCTTTTTATTTGTTGTATCTGTCATTTAACATTTTCACAAAAGAGTAAGAGTTAGTGAGATATGATAAAGGATTTAAGCAAGTCCATTTTTTTAATTCCTTTACAATAGTAACCTTAAACTACAGAGTATTGTTACGAAATTGGAACATTTCTGGTTGATGGGAATGATTTTTAGTCTTCTAAAATTTGTATTTGAATTTATTGCATGAAATCTCTATTGAGTATATGTACTTTTCTGATTTGAGCATTATTATTGTTATATTACAAGTTTCCTAAAATGACATAAGAACCATTTTCTCGTTTTAGGGAGTAGAAAATGTATATACACAGCACCAACCTTTCCTACATGAGACCCTGGACCATCTCATCAAAGGAAAGCTGAAGGAAAACCAGTACCCTTACCTAGGCCCCAGCGTACTCAGAGACAGGTAAAATAAAAAATAATAATAGAAACCAGAAACACTGAACAAATAGGAACTTCAGAGTAATATAAGAGACTACAACAGAGATTATATCCTTCTCCTCCTTCATCTAATGTTTCAATTCTAAGATTCTTTTGGTTTTAGGTATGTTGCTATAACAGAAATACTACAAGTGATGGCTTTAACAAACATAAATTTATTCTCTCACAGTTTAGGAGGCTAGAAGTCTGAATTCAGAGTGCCAGGCCTAGGAGAAGGCTGTCTCTGTCAGCTCTGGGAGAAGGTCCTTGTCTCCTTTCAACACCTATGAACCTGACATCCCATGGTGACTGCCATGTGTCTTGGCATCAGTCTGCCCTACGTCTAGGAGAGTATCAGCTCAGGGACCCTGGGTCCAAAGGATGTGCTCTGTTCCTGGCTCTTCTTTCTTGGTGGTAGTCAGGTCTCTTTCTTTCTATTTCTCTCTCCTTTTATTTCTTGTAAGATAAAAGATGTTGTAGGCTATGCTCCAGGGAAACTCTCCTTGCATCAGATCAGGGCTGTCACCTGAGTAAGGGTATTGTACCTCACCCTAATCCTGCCTCATTAACCTAACAAATATAATCTCATCCCCATTAACATAACCTAATCCTGCCTCATTAATACAGAGGTTGTTGTCCGGTGCTAGGTTATAGACTCACAGTGAACCTTTGTGCAACAGAACAAAACACTGCTTGATCCTGTACCATCCTCACAGTCTTTGCTATGTTTGAGCCCATTGTTGCAGCCACTGTATCAATCCATTTCATTGAGGGTTTTCTCTTTTTTGCTGACCCTCTACTTTACCCAGCATGATGTCCTTCTCCAGGGACTGGTCCCTCCTGATAACGTGTCCAAAGTACATGAGACAGTCTTGCCATCCTCGCTTCTAGGGAACAAGCTGGCTGTACTTCTCCCAAGACAAAATTGTTTGTTCTTCTGGCATATTCTCGTATAGTCAATATTCTTTGCGAGCACTATAATTCAGATATCTTTAGTTTTATTCATTGTCCAGCTTTCACATGAATATGAGGTGGCTGAAAATACCATGGCTTGGATCTGGTGCATTTTAGTCCTCAAAGTAACATCTTTGCTCTAAACAGAGCAAAGATCTTAAAGAGATCTGTTGGCAGCAGATTTGCCAGTGAAATACATCATTTGATTTCTTGACTGATGTTTCCATAGAGGTCAAGACTTAGAATATCACCAAATGGAGAATAATTATATCAAATAACAAAATGGAGAATGACTACATCATTACATCACTGCTCATGTACATCATTACATAACCGCCAACCCCCTGAGAATCGTGGCCTAGCCAAGTTGACACATATCTTGCAGGGACACAATTCAATCCATGACAGTCTGTCAAAGTTAGATATGAATTTACTTGCTAAGCCTGTGGTGTGTGTTTCTTTTGAGATAAAGAAAGAAATGATTTAGGAGAGGGTGCAAATCTTCGTATTCTGTCTTTTAGTATTAGACTGGTTTACTTACGCCATTTAAGGTTCAATTCTATTTCACACGTTACAGCCAAAAATAGATTTACTGCTTGATTGTCCTCCAGAGCAGGTTGTTACTGTTTTTGGTGATGATTGGTCTTCACCAGATATAGCCAGCATACAAAGTGAGAGACCTAATTAACAAATGCCATTTGTTACACAGAAGAAAAGGATGGCTTTCTTTTCAAATATTAGCTGAAGTAAGAAATTACTGGTAGTTGTCATTTTAATTCAATGATTAATTGGTTTTTCTTAAAACAAAGCTTGTCCAGAAAAACTTATTTAGGCTAAACTGAAATTTAAAATACATATCAATTCTACCTAGTTATAAATTAATTATATTTTTATATTTTGATATTCTTAATTGGGACCACTTGTTATAAAGGGCCTAATGTATGTAGCTGAATCCTATTTGATAGATTGGTGTGAGAAATGTTACTGTTGGAATAATCCTTCTATTATTTCAGCTAATCAGACTCCTAGGGCCTCAGAAGAATTGTGTTTTATAAATATAATGAATTTCTGAAAGGGAAAAATGTTTTGAGATACATGGATGAATCTTTTATATGGTAAAGTATATATATATTTCACTTTCTCTCTTAAAAAGAGCAACAACAACAAAAAAATCATCTTTTAAAATTCCAGGGCTAGAGGCAGAACATCTGAGTTTAAATTTAGAGAGTATACTCATTCAGATAAAATGTTTAAGGACCTTGGCATCAAGATTCAGAAATGTCAGCTAAGTGAGAAGAATGAAAAGCAGCTCTCTCATATATTCACATATATGAGAGGCTTTTTAAAAAACAGTATAACTATTCTTGAGCTTTCTAACTAATATGATAAAAGTAAAAATTAAAATTTCCTTATGAAATTCATAGAAGAATTACTGAAAAAGAAATCAGCTTCTCATTATACAATAGCAATAATATACAATGTTATTTCTAATTTGGATAATTCATTTCCAAACAAAATTCAAAATGATGGTTTTCCAACAAAGTGCATATTTATTAGTTGTCAGCATCTGTTAGCATTTGTCACTATTACCTAAATATGTGAACCTGTGAATAGACCAAGAGGCAGTTGTTCAAACAGAATAAAGGAATACTGTATGGTTTAAAATCAGGAAAGGTGCGTGTTGCAGTTGTATCCTTTCACCATACTTATTCAGTCTATATGCTGAGCAACTAATCCAAGAAACCAAAACCAAACCAAACTCACTGCTGTTGAGTCAGATCTGACTCATAGCGACCCCTCCTTGGGTTTCCAAGGCAGTATCACTGCGGAAGTAGATCGCCCAATCTTCCTTCCAAGGAGTGGCTGGTGGGTTTGAACCGCCAGCCTCCTGGTTAGCAGTTGAAGCTAAACTATATGAAGAACAACATGACATCAGGATTGGAGGAAAACTTGTTAACAACTTGGGATATGAAGATGACACAACCTTGGTTTCTGAAAATGAAGAGGACTTAAAGTACTTACTTATGAAAATAAAAAACTATAACTTATATGACCCTGAGACCAGAAGAACATGATGGTGCCTGGCTACCAATGCCAGCCACTCAGAAAGGGATCAAAAGTGGAGATCCTGGATAGAGTGGCAGAAAAATATGGAACAAAATTAAAAATCATTGGAAAAAAAACAGGGTTACTGGTCTGATGGAGACTGGTAAAACCCCTAACTATGCCCCAGAGTCATCCTTTGGGCTTGGAATTGAACTTACTCCCATGGTTTAATTCAACTAAACAATAGATAGGCCTATGACCTGAACACTGACATAAGGAAGTTGCACTCCTTAGAAAAATCTACCATGGGAGATCATAAGGGCAGTATTTGTGCAGGGAGAATGGTAGGGAAGAAGGAATGCATAGGCAAGAAGGACATAGGGAAAGGATAACCAAAATAAGTAAATAAATAAAAACATTTTTTTAAAAAAGGGAAAACCAAAAACTAGAGCCTTCGATATGGATTACACCCCAACATAAAGAAAACTAAAATCCTCACTAGTGGGCCAATAAGCAACATCATGATAAATGGAGAAAAATTGAAGTTGTTAAGGATTTCATTTTACTTGGACCCACAATCAATGCCCATGGAAGCAGCAGTCAAGGAATCAAATGACATAATACATAATGAAAATTTGGTGCAAAAGACCTCTTTAAAGTCTTAAAAAGCAAAGATGTTACCTTGAGGACTAAGGTGCGCCTGACCCAAACCATGGTATTTTCTGTCACCTTATATGCATGTAAAAGCTGAACAATGAATAAGGAAGACTGAAGAAGAATTGATACCATTGAATTATAATGTTGGCGTAGAATATTGACTATACCGTGGACGGCCAGAAGAACGAACACATCTGTCTTTGAATAAGTGCAGCCAGAATGCTCCTTGGAATGAGAATGGCAAGACTTTGTCTCACATACGTTGGCCCTGTTATCAGAAGGGACCAGTCCCTGGAGAAGGGCATTATGCATGGTAAAGGAAAAGGTCAGTGAAAAAGAGGAAGATCATCAACGAGCTGGATTGACACAGTGACTTCAGCAATGGGCTCAAATTTAGCAATGATTGTAAGAATGTCCCAGGACTGGGACTTCATGGGGTCTCAGTGGGTTGTAACTAATCTGACAACACCTGCTTAAGGCATTTGACTGCTAACCAGAAGGCTGGTGGTTCAAACCCACCAGCCACTCCTCAGAAGGTTGGGCAATGCACTTCTGTAGTGATAACACCTCAGAAACCCAAGGAGGGGTCACTATGAGTTGTATCTGACTCTAGGGCTTTGAGTTTGTTTTTTTTTTGGGAGGGGGGGAACAACAACCTAAGTAAGTATACAGCTAAGAAGAGTTCAATTGTTTCACCTTTTTATGTGACAAATATTTACTGAATCCCTTCAATATGCCAAGAACTATTACAGATGCAAGGGATATAGAAGTTATGGGAATGGAAAGTTCCTGCCCTCAAGGAACTTACATGAAGAAAACAGACAGTAAACAAGTAAATAAAGAATATAATTTGAGTAAGTTCTATAAAGGAAATAAATACAATAGTAAGCTACAAAGTAACTATTTAGAGGTGGAGAGAGCTATTATAGTTGGACAGCACCTCTCAAAAAAGAGACATTTAAACTGAGTTTTGAGTGATGAAAAACAGCCAATCACATAATGATTGAGAGTAAAAGCATCCCAAACAGAGGAAGCAACCAGAGCAAAGGCCTTGAGGAACAAGAGTTTGGAAGTTCATGGAACAGAAAGAATCCCAGTGTGGTTGAAGCAGGGTAAGTAAGAGGGAGATCAGCTGTTGTAAAGATAGGCAGGGGCCAAATCACACAGGGCCTTATGGGCCCAGGTAAAAAGTTTAATTTTATTTTAAATGTAATAGGAAATCATTGAAGAGCTTTAAACATGTAAGTGACATGAACTGATTTATGTTTTAAACATCACCTTATAGGAAGAATGGATTATTGAGGGCAAGAATAAAAGCAAGGAGACTAC